GTGTGTGTGTGTGTGTGTGTGTGTGTGTGTGTGTGTGTGTGTGTGTGCGCGCGCGCTTTCTGTTGATGCATTTGGTGGTTGTTATCATATCAGAATTTAAATGTGCAATGAATTGAAAAAGCGGTTAGTCAGCGGTTCAGATTGTGTAATCATGAACAATAGCCTCATTTTGTTCCTGTTGTGATTGAAAAATCACACAGGCATGTACCAGAATATCTTATCGGAGCTGTGTTATTAATGTCACAACAACCCCCCCCCCCCACCCCCCCCCCCCCCCCCCCCCCCCTCCCCCACCACCACCAGTGGGAAAGGGCTTGAAATTCAGCCCAGGGCAAAGTAGTCAAACTGGGTCACAGAAGGAAGGAGCTGGGAGTCGAGTATCTCCCAGAAACTCTGTTGTAGAACAAACAAAAAAAAAAACCACAACAGTGGAAAACAAGTTGACTTTGTTCTCGATTTATTTTTAAGTATGCGCGAGTGTCAACAAGTGACATCCATATTCCTCCACATGTATTCAGCAGCTGCTGGAACCCGTGCTCCATACGAGCAGTGTGCACAGATTACAAATTGACGTGCAACAAACTTGGAAAAATCACGAAGGCATTTGAAGCGATCGCAGCTCCAGTAATCTGGAGATAGTTTCTTGAGCTTCTCCAACAGCCCCCGAAGAGATTTAAACGTGATTCATATTTCATATATGTAACGAATAAAGGAATATTGGCGCACTTGCTACCGGACCAACAAAGCTATATAACATGCCTTTTTTGCGCTTGAATCAGAACCAACGTTTTCATCACTCGCCACTGTTCCCATTAAAATGAAGTGTTCACATCTTCTCATGACTCTTTTCTATTTTCTGCGTGCGATCAAATCCAGCCCGTTCATTGTTCGCCACGCTGTTATTAGTTTTTCTTCTTCTGGATTCTATGAAAAACAATTAGATTATTCCTCTCTCCTCCTCATTTCGTTCTCCTGAAGCCGTTGGAGCAGAGCACACGGGCACACAGCTGCTCTGGTGTCTGGGACTTGTAGCTGTGGAGACACTGACGAGTTTAACTGATTATCACTCGTCTCCTGATTCTGTGAACCCGCATTCTGACCCGGCATTCAACACCGCCCCGGGCAAAGATTAGCCTCCTCTATAAAAACACTCCCCGCACCACAAGGGCTGCAGTTAATTTGAGATGTAAGAGGATGGTATTCATTAACCCCTGCATTTGGGGGTCAGAGACCCCACGCTGACCAATTTATCCCCCCCCTCACACTCTGAGCCTGGTGGTGACCTGCCAGGAAAATAAAAAAAAAACCTCTGGAGTTCCAGGCCTTTTTTGAGTCCGTCTTACTTCTCGTGGCCCTCCTGGATCCGCTGCGGGGACACAGAAATGCTCTCCCTGGCCTTGTTTGAATTTTAGGTCCAGGCCACATAAACTCATTTCAGATGGAGAGGAAATCTACTTCCAGAGAAAAGTAGGAGCTGCTCAGGACTATGAATACACTCTCTTCTTTTCTGCAGGCTCGACGAAAGATCACAGCAGTGCCTCAAAGAAATGCCCTCAAAACAACCAACAGCTGATTTTGCAGTCCTAAAAAAAAAAGGGCTGAACTGAGTTGCGTCTGTGTGCTTAGGTGTAGTTTTGATTGGCGGAAGCGTCCGACAACTGCTTCATTTTCATAAATATGCCCCAGATGGGTCGCACTGAATTCCTCTCCGCCAAACTTCCCTCATACCACCGGCACTAATCTCTTCCTCATTGGGAGTAATGATGCCAGAGCCTTTCAGGATGCTGAGACAACAAACAGAGGAGGAATGAAACCAGATGGGATTCCTTCTCTCTGTATAGTCCTGTTAGTGATGGTTCTATACAGCTCACCCAGGCGGTGTGCTTGGTATCGCTCCATAACGTTAACCAAAGCACAGGTCAGGCTGTTGTTTAAGATGCTGCAGTGTAAACATGTCCTCCATCGGTGTTTTATATGTATATGAGATTCAACCAGTGAAAGGTCGAGCAGGGCATCCATCCATCATGCTGTCAGACGGGGGCCAACCCGAGGGACCGGGTCGTACTATTGACACTTAACAGACAGCTGGCAGCGAGGTCTGCAGGAACCGCTGCAGCAGCATTTAAAGAAACGCATTAACAGACTTAATTGCTCCGTGTAAGAATTGGGCGCGAGCCGATCCCGAGGGATTGGGGGGGGGGGCTGCAGTATGAGGATATAGAGGAAGAGTGTGTACACGGGCAGGAGATTGATGTCTGTCAACATATCGATGATTTAAAGGGCTTTTTCTCTCTGGTGGAGCGTAAACTTTTCAGTGCACATTCATTAATCTGATACCAGAATTAGATACTCGACTACTTTCATGGTGAGAACCATCTTGGGAAGTTTTGCTTTAACACATTTCTACTTGTGGATGACACTTTTGAAAGAGGAATTGCATCTTGTTTGTGGTTATATTTTTACCTGAGATGATTTTGACTGCTGCTGTCTTCTGATGCTGATGCGTATGCTACAAAGTGATGCCTTTAGTGCTGCAAATATCCATGCTGCTTTTGGCAGCAGCTGAAGTTCTTTGATTCGATGGGATGTGCCGTTCTGTAGATGGTGGATTTATAAGATGGATGAGTGTCGAGCTGAAATGGAAGAACCGATTAGTTTGAAAAGTAATCAATTAAGACCTCGCCGTGGTCTCTGGAAGCTATTTTAGGGGTATTTGCTGACATTTTTGTAGAACAAACAATGGATTACTTAATCGAGAAACTAATTGGTAGACTATACGATATCTTTATCTGTTGCACAATATTAATACATGGCTTAAGTGTTGAGAAACTAATTAACGGAGGTACTTTTGGCCTGTAATTACGTTCACCTTTAATGAAAATACATTGTATCCATACAGTGACGTCATTGCCCATTAAGTCAGTTTTAATGGCTGTAGTAACTCTTTAATAGCAGCATTTCTACTGCCAGATGATGACAATGGGATTAACAGACTTGTCCTTTGACTCCACAGCGTTACTCTGCATCTGTTTCCGAGACACAGATATCACGACAGATATCATAAAAGTACACCCGTGTCATATCGCAGTGACATAGAAGCAGTCCAGAAATGTTCATCCAGTGTTTTTCAGTGTCCTTGATGGATCTGTGTTCCCTCCTAGATCTCTACTGCACCCTCGAAGTGGACTCGTATGGGTACTTTGTCAGCAAGGCCAAGACCCGAGTCTTCAGAGACACCACAGAGCCACATTGGAACGAAGTCAGTCACCCTCCTTTTACCAGAGCATCGCCGCGTGTTTTTTTTTTTGTTGCAAATATGTTATTCTCCTTTTCTGTGTGGTTGAGCAGGAGTTCGAGATCGAGCTGGAGGGCTCCCAGTACCTGCGGATCCTTTGCTACGAGAACTGTTACGACAAGAGCATGCTGAACAAGGACGACAACGAGATCGTGGACAAGATCATGGGCAAAGGGCAAGTCCAGGTAAGAGGCCCTCACAGAAACGACCAATCGACAAAGAGAGACGTCCCTGTCCTGTTGGGGGACGTTTCCCAGCATGTGACTCATTATAATTTACCGTCTAGCCTTGACGCACACTGGAGCGGTTTTGTCCTGGTGGCCTCTAATGACGCTGGTTGGATTATTAGTCTGAACGCCAGTTTATATAAGGGGGGTTTCCCCCGTCTTGTTGTGAGAAACGTTGCTGTAAAAAAATCTCCCTCGGCCTTGTTAAGTGGATCCTGCCTACACAGTGGAATCTCTGGTTTCTCTGGAGTAAGGCAAAGCGCTGCTCTCATGCGCCGTTGTTTTAAGTTTTGCAGAAGCAGAGGAGTCACGTTTCCATTTTTCCCGAACTTGTTTGGAAAGAAAATCTGTTTGGTCAAGTGAAGCTTGACTCCTGTCATTTCCCCCCCGCGGTTCAGTTCCAATTGCTGCCGCTGCAGTTTTCCTCCTCTGCAATCGGCAGAGCCCCGCTTTGTGAATTCAGGTCAGCTGTGAGGGGTCTCAGTCGCTCTCATCGTCGTTTAGTGTCCTCATGTTTTTGCTCAAGTGGTGCCAGTGCCAGAGGTGAGCTTGGAGCAGGTTATTTCTGAACCCTCCAAACTCGACAGAAGTTATAAATCTGCTCAAACTTTTCAAGATTTGTTTGTTGCTGCACGTAGAATAACATTTGTTGTCGCAGGTAAAAGCAGCATCAGTGACAGGTTGCAGTTCCACCGGGAATACAAATCTCCTGTCTAACACAGAGAGGAAAGTGGGGCAGACATGAATCATTCACGATCGCGTTGCATTTTAAAGCAAAGGATGCGACTCAGAAAATATCTTATAAATCGTATGATCTTTGGTGGGTTTGTTGTTTCTCCTCAGACCTATGAGGGAGTTTAAAAAAAACAGCCACAACATATTTGTTGTAGCTGTTTCCTGTTTGGCACCACCACTTCTCATGCTTTTCTCATTCAGTCGGATGATTTGTGTTGTCTTTGATTTTCCTCTGAAGAGCAAATGGGCCCCACACAAGCAAATCTATCAGATCCACATACATCTGAACGTGGCATTGGATTTATTGTTTTTATGAACTTGGATGTTACTAGAATAATGAATAGAGTGAACTACTGTATGGAGATGACGTGTGTCTATGAATGGCTACCAGTCAGTCTTTGCTTAGTGTAGTGTGGTTAAAAGAATACAGTGAAACCGGGCCTTGCCTGTGTGATTGGGTTAATTGGGTCAGGAGTCGACTCCAATAAACGATTGTCTGACCTATGACAGGATTAAAAAAGTAATTGTGCACATGCATGTATGTATGCGCATTTTTTTTTCTTTGCCTGTGTGTAAAGTAATTGGCAGAAAAGGGACTTCATCACTATGAAATGTTGAGTTTGCTCTGTTTTTAAACAGATTCTGCCTCAAATCTTTTAAGTGGAATCATACAGAATCACTAATATACTATTTGATGCCCTTTCCTCTGTTAAAGTGGTCCATCCCATCTCTCCACATAAGGTACAGCGGTTCATCAGTGGTTCAGCGTTGTATCTTATATGACAGTAAAAGCCACCCTTCCTGGTACGACTGCCAGTCAGAGAGACAACGCTGCTGCTGCTGCTGCTGCTGCTGCTGCTGCTGCTGCTGCTGCTGCTGGGAACATCCACTTCCAGCCAACAACAGCCAAAGAACACAAATAAATACACCACATGTCCTCTGGCTCGCTGTGTGGAGGGGAAAATAGAGATGGGGGGACAGAAATAGAGAGAGAATGGCATGTTCTATCCCAGAGTCTGAGAGGGTGGGAATGTTGTGTGAGTGTGCACTATAGTGGAGTTGTGTACTGTAGAGAAAGAAGTGGACCTTTTTATAGATGAACTGTCTCCACTGATTGTATCAGCTGTGTGAAGGTGCAACAATTAGCATTAACTGTCTCGTGCCATGTGGTTATGGCAGCCAGGCAACCAAAGTATTGTACAGAGGGCCATCGGTCTGCTCCGCAGTCCAGAGCGCACATCCAGAGAGACTTTCACTTGGACCCGAGCTGTTTGCTTTCCTGGTGAAGCCGAGTTTAGAAGGAGCCTTCAGTGTTTTGCTTTCCTCTCTGGAGACACTCTGATTTATTTAACAAGCTTGTGGAATACTGACGGACCGTGAATACTGACAGACCGTAAAAGGGCATATTGGGCTGGAAGTTTCCTTTCTTTTCTTTTTTCCGCTGCTGTTACTCCACTTTGATACTTTGTCACTCTGTCATCAGAGGATGTTATGTTTCGGGCCAGAGGTTTTATTTCGATAGCGACAATTAGACCTGTCGGATTTTTTGATCCTGTGTTTTCTGTTCAGGACTGAGCACATTCACACATTCACTCACACACACACACACACACACACATACACACAGCGAAGAGAAAGCCGTGTTATCATGTTAGCTAGATTGAGTTGCTTGTCTGCATGGGAAAAAAAACACCATTTATTTCCAGCCGTTCACCCAACAGACGTCCCCCCCCAGCTGATAACCTCTGACCTCCAAAGGCATGTTGCTAATCCTCCATTAAATGGCAACAACGTCGGGTTTTCTCTGCCCCTGTGTCTCAAACTGACAACACAAATGGATTCTGGAATATCTCCGAGCAGGCTATTTGCCAAATTGATTCGTATCAGCTCCCAGAAGTTGCCAGTTTAAGAGAAGCGCTTCCTCCGGTGTGTTTTTTCTTTGGCCTGTTGCCACTGATGTTTTTTGCTCTGTTAGCCGTTGACTGTCCTCTGGCTAAACAAACTTTTTTGTGGGCGAACAGTGTGACTTCAGTTACAATCGGAGACTTTGATTACATTATTTCTGATTTCATTGCCAGCGTGAGGCTCCATAAACCTCTGGCTGCCGGGGTTTTGTTCAGTCAATCTTTAAAGTAACACAAAAGTGATCTGACTTGAACTGGTTTACGGGTGGAAAGTGCAGACGACCTCCCGGTCTGCCTCGTGCGCCGCTTCTCCCGGGCGACCCTCATGTGTTGGCTGTAGCTTGCGATACTCGTCTTCAGAGTACCAGTTATGTAACTGTTTAGGTTAACCGCCCCAGGGCTTTGTGCAGCAGGAACGCGTCGTATCACCCAGCGGCAGCCATCCTTTCATCTGGTAATCCGGCCCTCGTGCGGCCTCGTCCCACAATCCCCTGGGTTCACCTCTTTAGGCTTTTATCACTTGTCTTATCAGGGTCTGAGAGTGTTGTCTTTCATGTTTTTACAGTTTTCTTCAGTCTCAAAGCGGTCCAGTGATAGGGGTCTGAACATGCATGGGTGCACTGCAAACGGGACTTGCTATTAGCTAACACAGCACACTTTTGATGGTGTCAATTTGCCACAGGTGCACAGATCACCTTGTAGCTCGCAGCTAACAAACTGACTCCATAGCAACATGACACTTCCTATTTCCATCCCTCACAAGCTCCTAAATTCAGCGCATGATTATCCACCAAATCAAAGTAAGATTCAAAAGATAACTGTGGGGGCTGTTGGGGGAGCGCAGAGTCTTATAGAAACCAGCACATTGCTGGTAACCACATTGTTGTGAGTCCATCACTTAAGAGATCAGGCCCAACACCACATGGTGCTGTACTGAAGGTCCTCCTCACAGCGTACCTCACACTGTGTGTCTACAGAGGAACGGCACGTTCTCCGCAGAGTCCTTGCTGCAGCAGCATCCGATGATCCTATTATTCCTCGTGAGTCATGTAACATCTCCAGTGATGTCCCCAGCAAAGGGACTCCACCTCGACCTCTTGACCCCCCCTCCTTCCCGTTCTCCTCCCATCACTGTTTTTATTTTATGTTCTGCCGGTGAGCGCATGTCAACCCCTCCCTCCATCCATCGCAGCGCTGTTACAAGGCCTTGGTATGCAGTAACCGGATAGTTTTGTCCGACTTCCCGGAGATAATGCGAGCCAGAGAAGTTGGGCAGAAGGGAAAGGGGCGATTCGTTGTTCCCGGCAGCTCTTAGCTCCCTCACCGAAGCTCGAGGAGCTGGACAGGGGGTCCACGCATTAGCCGGGAGTTACTGTAAAAGTACGGGTGCAGGGGGGTTGTAAAGTTTGAGGGCGAGCCTCTAGCTGCACTCTCACTCCCACTTAAGAGTCGGAGCGCTTTCCTCCACTAGGAGGCATTAGATGCAAAGTTTGACATTTACATGCTACGTGACGGGTTTATCAGTGAAGGCGCCGTTGTTCGGGCTAATAGCAGGCCGGCCATCTAGAGAATTAGCGGTGAAGCTTGTGGACCAGTGGCACTCAGCCAGTGCAGAAATTGCCGGCCTCAAACTCTGATCTAATCTCTCAGCACTCGATCAAACATCATGCCAACATCAGGCTGCCATGAGGATGGAATAAAGCCTGGTGGGTGCGTTTAGTAATCTGTATAAACAGTGAAGAAAGTTCCATTAGAAAAGCAGTACAAGTATTTGTAAGCGGATGGGGGAAAGTGGCAGTTCAAAATTAACATATTTTGGATTCTTTGTATTTTATAGTCAACTAAATAAAACTATAGCAGTGCAGCACAGAATTTACACTTAATGGGTACAAAATTAACATTTTCTTTCTTCTGCTTTTCATGGAAACTTCCCAGGACTCCTCTCTGACTGATTTATTTTTTTGTTGTTCTTTGTATTTTCTGTTGAAAATGTCTTGCCTCTGGGGCATGCAGGATGGTGGTATTTCATGTGGTATTTGTTTTGAACATGGAGCTCAGTGGTTTTTTGTGTGTGTGTGTGTGCGTGTATGTTCATGCTTCAGTG